AGAGAGAGAGAGAGATGTTGCCTCTTTGCTACCAAGCAAGCGACTGATCCCTTCAGGCGTGTTCACGTATGCGACTGCGCAGTGATGAAGAACCTCAAGATAGAAAGAAGGGGCAACAGGAATCACGGGGAGCGTGTACATGCTTATAGAGATGAAATAAGGGGTTGTCTGCACGCACAAATATGAGCTCAGGTACAGTAGAACAGTGCATATCCTCGCCAGAGAAGACAGATGGTTCAAGAGAGGGGTGAAGGAAGCCATCTATACGTTAATCTGGAGAAACCATCTCTCAATAGAGAAGGTGATTTGAGACACAACCTTTCATCCAGTTATAATGTCGTCCTGAGTTCTCGCCTCAAAAAATTCAACCCCCACCCTGAAAACAAGACCACAGTTTCATTGCAAAGGACACCAAGCCTAAAGTGTCACTCTGGTGAAACTATGAGTCCATAGTTATGGTATCACTCCTCATTCACACCTCTAATCTTGTGAGATCTTCCATCCATCCATCCATTTTCATCCGCTTATCCATTACCGGGTCGCGGGGCAGCAGTCGCCACCTAAATCACATTGCACCGGATCAACCCTCCTAAACCTTCCTGCGGGTGGTGAGTCCACTGGAAGGTACCAACAGCCCTACCTGGGATTTGAACTTGTCCAGGAGGGGAACCGTGGGATTCCACACCAATGACAGACACATTGCCTCTGGGCCAAAGCGCCTCTATCTTGTGAGAGCTTACATTCTATAGACTATAATCTTACATTTCACCCTTCTTAGAATATGGTGTGTTTCACCACACCTCCTTTCTGCAACGACACTCTTTACGGGTATGTAGCCTCTTTGAGGCTAAATACCAGAACTTCCTTGTTGTCAGTCACAATTGAAGAAGCCTCTTGGATGAGAGGTGAAACGTTTTAAAAAAAAAACCCAAAAAAACACAGACATCTTCCTAATTACAGTTAAAACAGATGTGGAGAATATACTTTATGCAGAACCATTCTCACAGTGCCTGGGGCATTAATCAGTCTTTGCAGATCAGGACTTTCTGGTTTTTGCCTCTTCTGTGTTAAAGCAGTATAACTGGGTTGTACATGTTGTCATTTAGTTATGTTAAATTAAAAGCATTCCATCAACAGCAGCTCATCCTTAATAAACCAAGGGCAGCTGCACAACCCATCGAATCTGTGACCCAGGTCAGATCTCCAGGCTCTGGTGCTAAAGACCACAGTTAGCCATGCTGACCCCACCAAAGGGGCCCCACGACTCCATTTCTATGTGAGAATTTATACAGATCGCAACCCACACGTTTACCATATATGAAAGGTCTCGGGATTTGCTTGCTCAAAGCACCTTCTCTCTCACGACCTCTTCAGCTCCTCTTTACCTCTACTTGAGCTCGTCTTCCCCTCCTCCAATTCACCTCCTCTCTCCTCTATGACAGGTAATGGTGCATTTCTAGGCATCACGTTAATGAACGTAGTTGATACATAAATAATGATTAAGAAAACAACACACAATAGTGTGCGTGTGTATGCGTCTGTGGTTGTGTAAGAGAAAGACAGAGAGAGAGAGAGAGTCCGCCCTTCTTGGGTCCTCGCCAGAGTTGGGGCGTCCGTCTGGTTCCACTCGATGCAGAGAGTTCTTTCGGCCCGAAGGTCCGCCTCGGGTGGAAAAGCTAATGTGCCGGTTCACACAATGAAGTTTAAAAGGAATCCGGTTGCATACAATTTTTAAATAACTGCTTTAGCTGCAGTTGTCGTTACTTACGTAACTTAATTACTGGTTATAACTCAATTAAGGAAAAGACGCTACAAATGCACTTATCACTGTGGGAAACTGTGAACACAAGAGAGAGTTGGTTCTTCTTCTTATTCTAAGATGAGCAGGCTTCTCTTTTCGCCCAAGGCCACGCACAGAGAATCCCAAATAGAGACAATGAATTTTTGTCTGAAACCCGAATTGAAGGGTTGCGAAGGTCACTGGGCGTGACGTCAGTGGTTTCTCCCAGAAGCAGTGGGATTATAGGAGTTAGAGGCCCTATACGTCCCAATAGCGTGTTGACAAGATTTTGTATCAAAACTTAAAAAAAAAAAAACAAGCCTGAAAAAACACTTTAAACCACTCTGAAAATGATAATCAAATAATGATGCATTGCATGTTGATGTTTCATGAAACATTGCAGGAGTTGTCATTCACCAAATTCAAATCAGAAATTCTTCTCATGAAGAAAAATGTTTAACTTCAACTTAATGAAGCACTTTAAACACTTTTTCTTTTTATATGTAATTGTGCCTCAAACAAAGACAAGAATTTTTATGTCACATGTACAGAGATGTACTTACATGCATGTGGAAGGAAGGAAAGGAAAGTGAACTCATTGGCGACACAATGAAAAATTTGGGTGCACCTCAATTTTGTTTTGGTGCACCTAAAAAAGCTGTAAAAGTAGTGCTGGTATTCAGAGAAAGTAAGTGAATATTATGATATGGATGGTAATGGTAAGTTTACTCAAAATTTAATGTGTGCAGGTCGAAAATGCCATAGTTTACAGACGATGTAAGTTTATAGACGAATAGAAAATAATTAATGTTTGTTTCCTGGAGTCAGTCTGCAGAGGGCTCTCTCATCCACTCACTCAGAAGGTTGACGCTTAAAGACAAATAGCTGTCCACTTACAATTCACACAACTGTTCCTCATCTTTCTCACCTATATCTCCTAATTCTCCTTCCTCTCATTCCTCGCCTAACACT